CCCCGAGCATCACCCGGGGCTAGTGACCCCCGAGCTGCGCCTGGGGCATCGCAGTCAACACGGGGTTTGGGACAACTGGAGGGACATGTCTGGATGTGAGGTGGGGGGCGTGGGCACAGCACGGGGGTCTTGGATGTGGCAGGGGGGCCCTGGTGTGGGGGTCAGTGCGGTGGGTGGGACAAGAGGAGCAGAGCTGCCTGTCATGCAGGCTGAGAAGCCCAAACTCATCTCATGGGTGAGTACATCCAGTGCTCAGAGTGGCATTTTGAGGCTTGAGTGACAGCACCGGTGGCATTGCCACCAGGGCTCTCCAGACAATCTTCTCTCTCCCATGCAGGTGAGCTGGGCAGCAGCAAGGGCAGGCAAGGATAGGGGCAAGCAGGGTCTGTGTCCCCCACACTCCCCAGCCCCCACAAGGTCTCCTCACACAGCTCTGAGTCCCTGCCCTGCCTGGCACTGCTGCACTGTGGCCCTGACTCGGGGCAGAGGCACCAGCCTTGACTCAGTGTCCCAGCAGAGACCAAACCCAAACAGGTGCCCAGTCCTGCCCAGGCTGTGGCACCTTATCAGGCGCTGGCAGCACTGAGTGCCCGCCAGGGAGATTGTTGTGTCTGCAGGCAGTGGGGATATGCAGGGGAGGACAGTTCCCTCACCTCTGCCCCAACACTGCTCCTGCAGCTCCCTGTCCCAGCACCGTCCCAGCACCATCCTGTAACACTGACTGGGGCTGGGCTGGTGCCCCCACAGTTGTGCTGCCCTCACCCCAACACAGCTCTGAGGCCAGGCAGGGGCTCAGTGCTGGTGTTTGGTGCTCAGGCCCTTACCTGGGACAGCCCCGTGTCCCCAGTCCTTGATGGGGGCTCTTTGGGATTCCTGAGGCTGTGGGGGCCCAGACTGGCTGCAGCTCCTCAGCCACACACCCAGCAGGGTCTGGAGCTGCCATAGCCCTGGGGAGAGGTTGCAGGATGGCAAAAGGCAGGAGCAGGAGAGGGTTGGGGGTCAGAGAGGGCTGTAACCCCCACCTGAGGGTGGCTCTGATGAAACCAGTGAGACCCCAGGCCCTTTGAATGTACTTTGGGACACGATGCCTGCACAGATGCTGCAGGACTCCAATACCAGCAGCAGGACAGACCTCAGGGACGACCCGCAGCCAGTGCCCCCTCCTCCACTGCATTCACTCCCCATTTCCAGGCAGCCTCTCCTCCCCAGC